GTGCCTAAGGCATTTGACTGCTAACCCAAAGTCTGGCAGTTCAAACCCACCAGCTACTCCTCAGAAGAAAGATTGGGCAATCTACTTCTGTAGTGATACTGCCTTGGAAACCCCAGAAAGGGTCGTTTTGAATCGGATCCGACTTCACGGCAGTGAGATTTGTTTTGTTTTTTAATGCTACCAGTTATAGAGAATATTTTCATAAGGTCATTCATTCATTCAAGGTCTGTGTGAGTCCATACTAGAGCATAGACAAGAACTGGAAATATATCTCCAGCCACACAGCAGCATGACTTGGCAGCAGCATTGACCCGATTTACAATCAGAACTGTTTATGGCTAAACAGGGCTGAAAACTACCCTAAAATCTACCATTGGTAACAAACAAGGATAATTCGACAGAAAATCGCCAATGATTGAAAACATTTATCCAAAAATTTATAGCTACTACTCTAAATATTCAATATATCCAAGTCGGGAGAAACGTAATTGGTAAAAGGTTATTAAAACAAATGTGGCTGTAACAATTGGATATCAGGATGGAAGACAACTGACTATGTTAATATAGTATCATTTTTATTACAATTTCCAGAAGGATAAAAGTTCAACAAGGATTTTTTTAAAAAAGCTTAAAAAAAAATAGAAAACAGAACATTTGTTTCAAAAGGAGAAATAATACTATTGAAGAAATATAAATTATTCTTAAGGACAAGGTGGAGAGGTGAAATTTTTTTAATACAATTTTTGTATAAACATGTACAGGCACTAAAGGAAGCTCATAAAATGGGACAAATATATGTGGTAACTTAACCAACAAAAGCTTACTGTCCCAAATAAACTTTGAAAGGAAAAAAATATAAATATCTTAAACAGCTTTAGGTACAACGACATATTTATATAAATGATATAAATACATTTTATTTTAGTCATTAGAATGCACTTTCTCTGCAATTATTATAACAATTATTGTTACTTTCTAGCTGATTTCCTTGAATATATAAACTGTTTCCTTCAACCATTTGTGAAGTAGAATCTAAGTACTTACGAAATAATTCAAATGGGGAGATGGAGTAATCTTTATAAACTATTAATGGAACAAATTTGAAAATAACCAATATGTTACTTGTGTTAATACAATGAAATCACATAGAAGAGTGAAAATACCAGGAAAATATATCATATTGATATACAGAAATGTATTGTTGAAATACTGTTAGGGGTCAAATAAAATTTGATTTCGTTGAATTTTTGAGAGAAAAAATGCCTCAGTAGAGACTCAATCATGAATTAAACTGTCGAGATATGTTAAATTATCTAAGGACTTACTGATGCACTACATAATATTTTCATTCAGTCAGTCCATCGTTAGCTCTCAACTACACTATTACAATAACCTCTTGACTGGCTGTGGTGGTTATATTTTTGTGTCAACTTGGCTGGGCCTGGTTGAGTGGCTGGGCAGCTGGTGATAGTTATTCCCCATGATGAGACTGGCAATCAACTCCATCGTGGGATCTTCCACAAGCAGCTGAGTAGCTGCCTTTGTGTATGTGGTCTGCTTCCTATATATAAGGAGAAGTCTTGGGAATGGTCTCTAGCCTATGGCACACTTGGACCCTGCGTGCAGCCGTGTCATTGCTCGGCAGCCTGCTATGCTCTGCCGACCCTGGGACTTACATTGGACTTAAGTTAATGGCCTGCCATGTGGTTTGGTAACATCGGGACTGTGCCTTTTTACTTGTCAACCTTGGGGCTTCTCAGCCTCAGCAGCCAGCAGCTGTCTGAGTGAAGAAACGCCT